TTTTTTTTTTTTTTTTTGTATTGTTTTCCTGGTTTCTATTTTGTTGATTTCATCCTTCAAGTTGATTATTTTCTGGCATCTACTCCTTCGGGGTGAATTCACTTCTCTCTTTTCTAAGGTTTTCAATTGGGCTGTTAATTCATTTATGTGACTATCCTCTGTTTTCTTCATATGCGCACTTAATGCAATGAACTTCACTCTCAGCACTGCTTTCAAGGTGTCCCATAAGTTTGGGTATGTTGTATCCTCATTCTCGTTGAATATTAGAAAGTCTTTAATTTCTTTCTTTATTTCTTCTTTGACCCAGGAGTGGTTCAATTGCACATTGTTCAGTTTCCATGAGTTTGCAGGTTTTCTGCTATTTGTGGTGTTGTTGAATTCCAATTTTAAAGCATGGTGGTCTGATAAGATACAGGGGACTATTCCTATTCTCTTGTATCTGTTGAAGTTTGTTATGTCACCTAGTATGTGGTCGATTTTAGAGAAGGTTCCATGTGGAGCAGAGAAGAAGATATATTCTTTTGTCTTTGGATGGAATGTTCTATAGATGTCTGTTAATCCCAGTTGAGACATAACTTCTGTTAATTCTTTTGTTTCTTTGTTGAGTTTCTGATTTGTGGTTCTGTCTAGTGTTGAGAGTGGTGCATTGAAGTCCCCCACTATAAGTATGTGAGGTTTTATATGAGCTTTGAGTTTTAGTAGTGTTTCTTTTACGAATGTGGGTGACTTTGTATTAGGGGTATAGATGTACAGAACTGAGACTTTGTGTTGATGGATTTCTCCTGCGATGAATATGAAATGACTGTCTTCATCTCTTTTGAATAATTTTGGTTTGAAGTCTAACTTGTTAGATATTAGGATAGCTAAGCCTGCTTGCTTCTTATTTCCTTTTGATTGGAAAATCTTTTCCCAACCCTTTACCCTGAGGTAATGTCTACCTTTGAATCTTAGATGTGTTTCTTGTATGCAGCAGAAGGATGGATTCTGTCTTCGTATCCATTCTGTTAGCCTGTGTCTTTTATAGGTGAGTTAAGACTATTAATGTTGAGGGTGAGTAAGGACCATTGATTGTTGATGCTTGTTTGATCTAGGTTTGTTGTTGGCAGTGATATTGTGAAAATATTAGTTATGCTTCACCCTTGGTTTCTAGTGTAGTTGGATTATCTGTTGTCTACATTTTTGCGGGCATAGTTACCTTCCTTGGGTTGGAATTTTCCTTCCAATACTTTCTGTAGGGCTGGATTTGTAGATACGTATTGGGAAAATCTGGTTTTGACGTTAAATATCTTGTTCTCTCCATCTACAGTGATTGGGAGTTTTGCTGGATATAGTAGCCTAGGCTGGCATCCATGTTCTCTTAATACTTGTAGAACATCTCTCCAGGACCTTCTGGCCTTGTGGGTTTCCATGGAGAAGTCAGGTGTATTTTTGATAGGTCTGCCTTTATATGTTACCTGTCCTTTTTCCTTCGCTGCTCTTAATATTTTTTCTTTATTCTGTATGCTAGGTGTTTTGATTATTATATGTCAAGGGGTCTTTTTCCTTTGGTCCAGCCTATTTGGGGTTCGGTATGCTTCTTTTCCTTTCATGGGCATGTCCTTCTTCAAATTTGGAAAGTTGTCCTCGATGATTTTGTTGAATATGTTTTCGGCACCTTTCAGCTGGGCTTCCTCACCTTACTCTATGCCTATTATTCTTAGGTTTGGCATTTTCATGGTGTCCCACATTTCCTGTATGTTTTTTGTTAAGGATTTGTTGGATGTATGATTTTCTTTGGTCGATGAACCTATTTCTTCTAGTTTATCTTCTGCGCCTGAGATTCTCTGTTCCATCTCTTGAATTCTATTGGTTATGGTTGTGTCCGTAGTTGCTGATTTTTTGCCCAGCTTTTCAATTTCCAGCATTCCTTCCGTTTGTGTTGTCTTTATTTTCTCTATTTCAGTTTTCAAGTCTTGAACTATTTCCTTTACCTGCTTAATTGTTTTTTCTTGGCTTTCTGTACTTTCCTTAAGAAATTTGTTCATTTCTTCCATTTTTTTGTTTGTTTTTTTCATCCATTTCTTTAAGGGATTTTCTCACATCTTCTTTGAGGGTCTCTATCATTTTTATGATGGTGATTTTTAAGTCATACCCTTCTGCTTCCTCTGCTTTGTTGTTGTGTTCCATTCTAGTTGGTGTAGTTTCCCTAGATTCTGGTGGTGTCATGCTTGTCTTTCTGTTGTTAGGTGTTCTGTTGTATTGCCTTCTTCCCATAGATTCTTCCAGTAGGTGTTGGTTGGGTTTCCCCCTCTCTCTATGATACTTCCCCAATGGGCTTATGTGGGTCTGTGATTCAATATCTGTAGCTCTGTGTGGTCCAAACTCTCTTCGAGGTTTCTCCGCAGACAGGAATCCAAGGATGGTGTCAAGGATGAGGATCCAGAAGAAGATGCCAGCAGGTACTCACAGTGGTCCTCTGGCCAATAGCTCTGTTCAATAGCTCTGTCCAATAGCTCTGCCCAGTAGCTGGTGGAAGAGGACAAGGACTGAGCTGGAACTTGAGAAGGTTTTGCAGGATAGTTGGATCTCCCTGGAAACTGGCGCTCTCCAGCTGAGACCTCTTTCTTTGGCAGAGGCCAGGATTTGGTGATCAAGGATGTTGCCTGCAGGAACTCAGAGTAAACCCGCAGAGATAGGCGGATCTCTGGGAGGGGCCCGGGACTCCAGCAGAGGACTGGAGGCAGGGTCAGAATCCAAGCTGGTGGAAATTATGGGTGGTCCCACGTGGATAGTCAGGTCTCCTTTGTTCAGAGTTGCTCAGAGAAGTCTCCGAAGTAGGGTTGACTGTTGGCTCCACCCTGTGTCCCAGTGCTCAACCAGTTTGGCAGGACCATGTGTGGGGTAGGGCACAGGGTAGGGGGGGTAGTCTGGCCTTGGGGATGGGTGGGGGTGTATCAGAGCTCCAAGGGTGCTCTAGATGGGGACCTGAGACAGGAGCAGCAGGATCAGGGGCCAACCCAGGGAATTCGGGTGGGGGAGGGGGAAAAGAGATTGTAGGGGAAAGACAGCCCTGATTGGGCCCAGACTCACCTCTGGCCAATAGCCAGCAGAAGAGGACAAGGGCTGAGCTAGAACTTGAGAAGGTTTTGCAGGATAGTTGGATCTCACTGGAAACTCTAGATTTTTAAATATAGCATTAATTTGGGTCAATTAGAAATTATAAACACCTTAACAATTTTCTTTCTTTCTTTCTTTATTTTATATAACCAAGTCCATTTAAATGAAAACAAATATTTATAGACAATATTTGCGAATTTGGGCGTCGTTCTTTCCAAACTACTTCCTGCTGGAAAGGGGCACAGACATGGGGGATTCTAAGAAGATGTAGAAATCCTGGCTGTAGTCTGTAAGGCTGCTCTGTCCAGCTGTTTTGAATGTATGATCACCTGGTACTCTTTTTCAGGCAGTCTGGCTTTATCAAACCACATTAGTCTGGAAGGAATCCACAGCTTTGCATTTTCTGTGGAAACAAAAATAGAAATCCTACTCCCCAGTAACTTGTCCTTGAACTTAAATTTTGGAGTCAAAGCATTTTTTAATTTAATTTATTATTTTACATGTCGATCGCAGTTCCCTCTCCCTCCCTCTCTCCCTCCTTTATTCCCTTTCTCCCCCCCTCACTTTCCAACCTCCCTTCCTTTTACCCTCTCTGCCCTCTCACTTGCACCCTAACCACCCTTCCCTCCCACCCCCACCCCAATTCCATTATGAAGGGGAATGCCATCCAGTTGGGGTCATGTAAATCTGACAGGTCATGTGAAGTAGGGACTGGGGCTTCTCTCCTGTCTCTAGGTTAAGGCAGTTATCCCTCCATGGGGGATATGTTCACAAGGTCCTTTGGTGCACCAGGGATACATCTTGGCTCCACTGTCTGAGGTCCCTTAGACTGTTCAGTCTTTCTGGCTGAGACCCATATTCAGCGGGGCCTGAGTCAGTCCCATGCTGGCTTCCCAGCTATCAGTCTGGTGGCCCATTATCTCTTCCTTGTTCACGTAAGCTGTCTCTATGTGTTTCTGCTGCCTGGTCTTGTCCTCTCCATCTGCTTCTGGGTTCTAGCTCGACTCAGTGTTTATGTATGTGTGTTTGCTCCTGTTTCCAAAAGGTATTCCATGAGGGCTCCATGGATAATTGTTGATCTCACTCTCCGGGAAGGGCATTTATGGTAGCCTTTCCATGGATGCTCATATTGTTAGTTGGTGGCAGTCTTGTAGGTCTCTAGTCCTTTCTTTGTGTTCAGTTTTCTTTTCAAACCAATATTGGCTCCCTCTTTTATGTTCTCTCTCTCTCCTCTCTCTCTCTCTCTCTCTCTCTCTCTCTCTCTCTCTCTCTCTGTCTTCTATTCTTATTCTTAACCAGGCTATATCTTCCTGGTTGCACGTGTTTTCCTTTCCTGCCCCTCGTTTTCTCCTACTTTTCTCTCCTTTCACTGCCCCCATTCCTGCCACTTCCCCTGTGCTCCGGGAGACCTAACAGCATCTTAACCATTTTCATTTCCTGTGTGTTTGATAAATGTGTATGGTTATTTTTTTTTTCTTTTTCTTAATGATAGGGTTTCAAAGTAGCAATGGTTCCAGTCATGGAAGTCACTCTATTGACAAGGCTAGCCTTGAATAGACAGAGATCCACCTTCCTCTACAACCCTTGTTCTGGGATTCAATCTCACTACCTCATCTTCCTGGTGTATATCTAGTTTAAAAAGTATCCATTTCGATCTTCATGATCTATAATTGTGTTTGAGAGTGAGCTAGGTAGAGTGTTACTACCATGCTTAAAGATTTCTGTTGAGTTCGTAAAATTACTTAGGAGAGAAAACAAGGACCTCCTCAACCCATGTGGAAAACTGAGCCTGTTACCATTCTTGCTTCAACATTATGGAATTCTTTCTTCTTTGCCTGCCACTCCCAGGAAAGGAGCTGTGAATCAAGCCACTACACAGACTAATGATTGTGACTCTGTTACAGAAAGCAACTTTTCCCAACTCTGGCCCTGCTAAATGCAAAGTGGCTGTCCATGGCTTGACTCCTCCACTGGTGGCCAAGGTTTCAGGCCCTAGAGATCATGGACACCCTGCCATTCCACAGAATCCAAGAGGCCAGAAACCACCACCACTTCCTGCAGATGCTCGACAGTATGTCCCATCAAAGGGATGTGCTGGCCCAAGGTTTCCTCCAAAGTCAGGTAGGCTTTTTAAAAGGCCCTTATATGAATAAATATGTATCTGTGTGTTCCTTCATGTTTGGTTCCTGTTACGATGAGAAACACTGGCCAGAAGCAACTTGAGGGAGAAAGGGTTGTCATGGCTCACAGGTAACAGTCCAGCAGCAAAGAAGTCAATGTTTCACCTTGAACTACCTTAGGGAATTTTGAATTTTAAATGTACTGTGATAGTTCAGAAGATCAGCAAATTTACAAGCACTTTTTTTCTCCTCAAGGCAGGGTTTTTCTATAACTTTTGAGCCTGTCCTGGAATTCACTCTGTAGACCAGGCTAAGCTTGAACTCACAGAGATCCACCTGACTCTGCTTTCCAATTTTGGGATTAAATGCCTGTGCCACCAATACCTAGCTACAAGCAGGTTTCAGGCCCAAATTATGCGTATACCATTTTATAGAAATGTGTACTGAGGCTGATATTTACATTAATTATTTATATTTTGTCTTTAGATTACTGGCTAAAGTGCTAAGATCACATTAATTATTTGCTGAAATCATTGAAATTTCTTCTTACACTTACATTTTAAAATAAAAGTTTTTTTTTTCTTTTATAGCATACTTTCCCCTTTGGAATCAGAAGTTTCTACACAATAAATCATGTTTTAAAGTAATAGAGAAGAACCAGCTTAGTTATCCCTGCCTGTTCTCTTCCCTCATATCTATTCTTAACCTTCCAAGAGTATGACATGTATTTTCTTTCGGAAGTTTTGTAGTTGTTCTTGTCATTACAGAAAAATTTATTTAGGATATCATGCCAGGATCACTGATTTCAATGTTACTCTTGAAAGTTTTACCTCATTGAAATCTGTTCTACAATATGTCTTGAGTGTATTGAGATCAAGAGTAGCTGCTAAGACAGCACAAAGACATCTGAAATTGGTGGTGGTGTTCTTATGAATCCCATGTAGGTAAGAAGTCCACTTTAAATATCAAGATTATTTGTAAGATCAAATATTGTGGTGTGAGTTTTGTACCAGTATGGGCTGTAGTTTGTGGTTTACCATGTGTGCCATACCGGATTTCAACCTCCACTGTCGTTTACTCATCTCTTGCAACAGGGTAGAATGTGTACAAACTGAGGGGCTTTCCATTTTCCCTTCTCCCAACTTCTGGGTTCTTCTCCCCACTCTCTCTTTTGAGAAGTAGAAATGAACTCTCTCCAGACTTGATTCTGCCTTCCAAACAATCTTCCCCAGAACCTCCACAAACACAGGAGACCTGACCATTTCTATGGCGGTCATTTCTTCTCATTTTCAGTTCAAGATCACTTTTGTTACTTATGTGATTATATTGTTGCTCAAATTGCAGCTTAATGGAAACATATTGTCAGGATAGTAGTTTGTAGAAAAGATGATTTAAATATGAATCTTATGAGTGAATTATTTCCACTTCATTTTATCCTGCATAATGTATTTTACTTTGATTATGTCATCCATAATTGTGGAAGTTTTATACAGGCAATCTCATAATTGATGTATCTTAAACTCAAAAAGCTGTTTCTTTATACCAGAAATGTGTTCACCATGATTTTAGGCAAAAGTAAAGGTAACTGTGTGTTTAATCAAATGAATTTTAATTTATTTAAAGCATTGTTTGTCTTTGGTATTACTGAACCCAGCCAGTTTCCCATAAACGTTTTCCACTAAATTAGTCTTTTCAGCTGTGCAAAAAATTAGTCCTTCAAAAGAGAAGTTTGTGGGGGGCTGGACTGATGGTGAATCATTAGTTAAGACTGGAATCTAGTGCAGATAAGAGGACATGGTCTTGGTTCCTAACATCCACATGGCAATTCCAATCCCAGGAAAACCAATGGCCACTTTTACCTACAATTTCACAATGTATGTGGTGCTTACCCATACATATAGTATACAGATATTCATGAAGTACACTAGGCATGCCTGTAATGTACCAGGTATTCATTGTTGCAAAAGGCATACACGTAGTGCACTAAGCATGCAAGTAGAGCACAGGCATGCATGCAATGCTATGTACAATATGCTTGCCCATGTTATACATCATGCATGATATGTACCAGCATGTATGTTAATGCTCTATACAGGTATGTAGTTCATGGTTGTGAGTATATAGTCCAGAGGCATGCAAGTACACAAAATACTTGCATATGTAAATTACAGAAAAAAACTAAAAATAACAAAACAACATAAATTAACATAAAATATTTTTTTTTCTTTTTTGTTTTAACGTAAATTAACTCATTTATTAGAGGCAGGGGTTTCCAAGCAATAGCATTTCTACTGGTCTTTCAGTTCCTTCAGTCCTCTGATGGCAGACTTCACTGTGACTGCAGAAATAGTGTTGTGAGTCTAGGCCCCACCTGCCACTATATTCATGCAGGAACCACAGTGCCAGATGCCAACTGCTCATCTCTTCATCGTGGTCTTGCCACAGAAGGAGCAAGTGTACTTGGCGTGCTGGCTGATTTCAATTTTCTTCACCATTTTCCGGAGGGAGGCACCATAGTGGGTCCCGTATTTCCCGATGATCCCGACCATCTTGGCGCGTTTAGCCATGTAGCTGGAACCTAAGCCCAAGCCCGGAGAGCACATTTTTCTTTTTTCTTTTAATTTCTTTCTATTTATTTATTTAATTATTTATTTTGAGAAATGGGACAGGGTTTTTCTTTGGCTTTGGAGGCTGTCCTGGAACTAGCTCTTGTTCATGACGTTGGTCTCAAGCTCATTTAATCTGCCTGCCTCTGCCTCCCAAGTGCAGGGATTACAAGCATGCACCACCGCTGCCTAGCCAACGTTTGTGGATTTTCTGATTTGAGTATCTTACAAAGTATGCACCCTACTACTTTTAGTTAGATATAAATGACCCAAAATAAAGCAATACATTTTAAAACCTTAAATATGTTTTATACTTGAAAGAAAGACAGGCTATTGTCTAATGATGAATTTCAGGATTTTCTTTTGTCCACTGACTAGTTTTAAGGTTCAAAACCAATGGGTGTGTGTGTGTGTGTGTGTGTGTGTGTGTGTGTGTGTGTGAGAGAGAGAGAGAGAGAGAGAGAGAGAGAGAGAGAGAGAGGAGAGAGAGAGACAGATATACAGAGAGAGAGCATGCACAAGCAGACACAGGCACACCCAATTTTGTGCTAAATGTATGATGATTAGTTAACAGCTGTAAGATAATTTTTCTACAGTAGGTTATTTAGAGAGCTCAGGGTCTCAGGCTGACACAGTGAGTAATTCCCCTATATCCTGGAAGTTCTACTGACTGGTTTCTTATATAATTTCTGGTTCTCTTATTTTGACTTTCTAGTTATTGATTTGTTTGTTTCTTAGAGACAGGGTTTTTGTGTGTGTAGCTTTGATTGTCCAGGCACTTGCTGTGTTGACCATGCTTGCCTTGAATTTGGAGCCATTCCTGTTTCTGCCCATGGAGTGCTGGAATTAAGGGCATGAATCTCTACATCTTTTGTTTTATTCTTAATGTGTGAAATGTTGATTGTTTTCTGTGGGTTGGGTTGAGAGAGCTGACACCATGTAACTGTCCTAAGGCACCTCTTTCTGAGGTAGGGAGTTGAAGTTTCTCCAGACTGGTGTTCATGTTCTTGGTCTTGCGTACTGATAGGAATGGAGGTTGAGACCTAACTAATGAATTTCCCATCAGGGGGTTGAATCAGTGATTTTTCTCTATTCAGTTGGGATTTTGCATAGGTGTCAAGGGACAGCATAAGAACTCATTCTCTTGCACAGAGCTGTGATAGTGACTAGAATGGTTCCCTAGTGTCATTGGGAAAAGTCAGTGGTCAGGAGGTGTTTCTGCTCCAGACAGGAAGCTAAGCTTTGTGTTGAACACACGGTTTCCCCCTGTTCTGTTTCTACATTTTTACAACATGTATTTCTACCTCATCATTCCCATTTTATTCTTGATTGAGCAGATTTAAAAGAACTTATGACTGGTAATTATTTACAATAAAGTTTTATATTGAAACTTTTGTAATCTTGACATCATTAAATCTCTGTTTCAACCCGTTTTGCTTCTTTCTCTTCCTGGACCACTATTTTACTGTCTGTTAGCTATTTCTATTCCCAAAATGCTATTAATTTTACCATGCATAGAAGCATGCATACTTGTTCTATATCTGACCTAAAATTTACAATTCAAGAAATCGAACTCATGATTTAAAGGCTAATTCTGGCCTGAAGTAATCACATACTAAATTTCAGTCCCTTTCTCTGTGAATCCTAGAGACCAAGTTTTATGCTATGTCATCATTTGCTCTTAGCATCAAGACAAGAGCCTGAAAACACATTTAGTTTCCCTTACACTTTGGGTAATTGAAGTAATAATGGGAAGGGTGAAAGCTCAAGGAATTGAATTGTGCATTTTTTTTGACCAATACAAATGTATAATCATAGGTTACATGAGTAACATTCTCTGCTTTATCTGCCTTTAAAAACAAAACATAAAAGCAATATATAATCCTTAGAAAGTTAGACAATGGTAGATACAATGGAAAGCATCTGTTCAGAAGCGATGTTAACAACTCTTCAGAGGATGCTGCCATGTGGCTTTTGTCCTTCAACTGCCTTTTTAAATATAGATTCTTATATTGACAGCATATTATATATTTATATATATCCATGAACATATTTTTAAATTTTTTTTTTCATTTCACATAGAAACAACATATTCTTCTCACTCTCCTTCTGCACAATGACGCACTTCCACCAATAAGGCCATACCTCCTAATAGTGCCACTCCCTTTGGGAGCCATTTTTTCCCAAACCACCACAGTTGGCATCTCACACAGATTGTGAGACACATTTCCTCCATCTCTTTTTGTAGGCAGGACTACTTGTAAGGTTAAGCTTTTGTTGCTGAGTTGGTCTCTCAGTCCCTCAATTTGAAGCCTCACCTGATTATAGCAAATGGCCGGTACAGGATCTGGATCCCTTAACTGTGGTCAGACTTGTAGTTTCCTGGGAGTTTCTATTGCACTAGATTTCTTGTTCATCCCTGACATTTCCACACACAATCTTCAAATTGCTTAGGGTCCAGCTGGAAAGGTCAGCAGCACATGACAAAAGAATATCTGTTCTGTCTCCCTCTGCTTTGAGAATCCTAATGAGGAACACTATTGTATTTGTGTCAATTTATTCTCTTCCCTGGCATGGGGAGTGGAACATGTCAGTGCCATTTGGATCTGAAAATGGTCTAGGAATAAAATAAAACTCATCAAGTTTTCCTGGTTTAATTTTCCTGTCTAGATAGGCCAGTATCCTCTACTTTGGAATCCAGGAAGAGTGCCAGCAAACATAACCCTGGGGTAAGTATTGGACATTGAAATCTACCCGTGGATCCACAAGGAGTTTCTTGATTTGATTAGAACAAGACAGAGCTCTTCTACTGTATGATATCTCCATATTTATGAAATATACCTGAACTTAGCATTAACCCTTTCATTGTTGGCTTATAACCTGGGAAATTGTACAGATCACAGGCCAGGTATTGATGGTCCATGTAATCCTAGCATTTAGGCAGAAGGATGGCAATTTGAAAGCTAGTTTGTTTTGTATAAGCAGATCTTGTCTCAAAAAATTACACAGGCTGGAGAAATGGCTTAGAGGTTAAGAGGCTTGCCAACTCTCGTAGAGGACCTGGGTTTGTTTCCAAGCACCTGAGTGATGGCTCCCAATACTTAACTCCTGTTTCAAGAGATCTGAAGCCCAAGTCTATCCTTCCAGAACACTAGATGTGTGTAGTATGCAGACATACATGATGGCAATATACCAATTCATGTGTAATTTAAAAGAACACTAAAATAAGGTACCTAATACTTTAAAAAGTTCAACGTTTAGATGAATTTCAAGATTTATTTGCATGCTGTACACTATTTCAGATATTTCTTCCTTGATACCTTATTTGAATCTTAAAGTTTATTTTTGTTTTCAAATATAGCATTAATTTTGGCCATTTTTAAAAATCAACATCTTTACCATTTTCCTTTTATCTTTTATTTGTATGTCCCCCCCCCCCTGGAGATACCGTTTTCCAGAATCTATGGAGCATGTCCTCGAACTCAGAACTCACACTTTTCACCAGATTGGCCTCGAACTGGCAGAGATCCACCTACCTTTGCTTTCTGAGTTCTGTTATTTAAAACCTGTGCTACCACCCCATGATACATTTCTATTTTTAGAGAGTCTGTTTTGATATGCTTGAACTGTACTTGCATTTTAGGATGAGTGTTACTACCTATCATGCTTAAAGATTTCTCCTGAGTTATTTAAAATACTTAGGATAACAAATAAGGGGCTCCTACCCTTCTGTGGAAAACTGCCTGTTCTCATGCTTTCTGGAGTTCCATGTACTGCTTTCTTTTACGCCTTTCACATCCAGTAAAGGATCTGTGAATCAAACAATTTCACTGACTGTTGATTGCCACTCTGTTACAGAAATCAACTTTTCCCAATTCTGGCTATGCTGGATGCAAAGCTTCTGGACAAGACTTGAATGTTCCACTGGTTCCTGAGGTCAGACCCCCCAGAGGCCCTGCCTTCCCAGGGGATCCAGGTTGCCATGTTCTGCCTCCAGGAAACATCTATGGAGATGCTCCACAGTATGATCCACCAAGGGACTTCCCAGGCCCACCATTCCCTCCTATGCCAGGTAGGCTTTTTTAAAGGACCATGTATGTGCATCAGTGTTTATCAGTGCTTCCTTTCAAGTTCGCTTCCTGTTAGTGTAAGAAACACTGGCTGGAACTAACCTGAGGAGGAAAGGGTTTATATGGCTCACAGGTCACTATTCAGCAAGAAAGGAAGTCAATCCACCCTAGGTAATTAGAATTTAATATGTCCAGTGTTAGATCAGATAATCAATAAATTCACAAGCACATTTTCCTTGTTTTATTCCTCTAGGCAGGGTTTCTCTATAGCTTTGGAGACTTTCCCGAAAATCATTGTGCATACTAGACTAGCCTTGAAATCACAAATATCCACCTGTCTCTGCTTCCCAAATGCTGGGTTTACAGTCTTGAGGCACAAATGTCCTGCTACAAGCAGTTTCACCTTAAAATATTTGTATTTTATTTGACAGAAATGTTTTGAGGCCATTATAGTAATTAATTATAGTTGTTTTTCTTAAGATATCTGACTAAAATATTTTAAATCATTTCTCCTGTGTAGTAGTTCCTACAGGATCATATTTAAAATCTGAGACCATAGCTATTAGTTGAATTCATTGAAATATTTTCCTACCATTACATTTTAAAAGAAATGTAATGTACTGCTTTTACATCATACTTTCTCCTTTGGAATCATGAGTTTCTACACAGTTAATTATGTTTTTAAGTAATAGATAAGAACCAGCTTAGTTGTCCTAGGTATCTCTCTCTCTCTCTCTCTCTCTCTCTCTCTCTTTCTGTCCTCACCTCTGCTCTTAAACTTCTATTGGAATGGCATGAGTTTTGTTTGGGAAGTATTAAGTTAGTCCTTGGCATTAGAGGAAATGTTTCTATTAGGATATCAGTTCAGGATCACTGATATGCATGTTAAGTTTGAAAGTTTTACTCCATGGAAAAGCTGTTTTACAGAAAGTGTGGATTGCATTGAGATCTTTTTATCTGCCAAGTTAGGACAAACAAACCCGAAAGTGTTGTTGATGTTCTTATTATTCCTAAGTAGATAAGAAGTCCAATTTTGAAGGTCAAGTTTTATATGTGAGAACGAATATTGTGATGTGAGTGTTTGGATAACAGAGTAGGGGCTGGAGTTAGTGTTTCAATAAGTGTACAGTACAGGATTTCTTCTACCATTGTCTTTTACCCATCTCTTTGAGCAGGGAGAAATGTGTATGAACCAAAGTGCTTTCCACCTTATCTTCACCCAAGAGTTGGGTTCTTTCCCCCACTCCCATATCCTCCAGAAAACATCTATGGTGATCAATGTGGCTATTTTCCTACAAGAATCTTCCCTGGTCCACCATTTCCCCCAATGGCAGGTAAGCTTTTTTAATGGTTCTTGTGTATGTCAATGTTTATCTGTGTTTTCTTCAAGTTTGCTTCCAGTTACTGTGTTAAAACTATCCTTAACCAACTTGAGGTTGTAAGGGTTTATATGGTTCACAGGTTATATCCCAGCCACAAGGGAAGTCAAGGCTTCCCTTGACTTAGGGAATTTTGAATTTTGATTGTTTTTTGATAGGTCAGAAAAATCAGCAATTTTACCAGAGGGTTGGTTTTTTTGTTTGTTTGTTTGTTTTGTTTTCCTCAATTCAAGGATTTGCTATCACTTTGGAGCCTGTGTTGGTCTGCTTACCTTCCAAATTAGTACAAACACACCTGAAACTGATGGTGAAGTTATTATTTTTCCTAACTAGGTGAGAAGTATTTATTTGAGAGTTGAAATATGTTGGTGTTAGTGTGTGGATATCAGGATATGGGCCTGACTTAGTGGTTGAACAAGTGTGTAGTATGTGGTTTCAACTTGCATTGTCCTTTACCCATCTCTTCCAACAGGAAGAAATGCATACGAACCATGGGGATTTATACCTTACCTTCCTATAAGAGCTGGGTTCTTCCCCCCACCACCATATCCTCCAGAAAATCTCTATGGAGATCCAAGACATTGCATTCCACCATGGGATTTTGCTAACCCAACTTTTCATCCATTTCCAGGTAGGCTACATGAAAGTCCACGTATGACTCAATATTTATCAGCTTTTGTTCAAGTTTGGTTACTATTACTGTGAGAAACATAGGCCAGAACAATCTTCGGGAGAATAGTGTTTATATAGCTCACATGTTACAGTCTATAGTAGGTACTAAACTAGCTAACATTAAGAAAGAATAAAATTCAGAAATTTAAATTTTCATTGTGTATTTGTTGAGTTATTTATTAGGGAAATTTTTACGTAATAGTATATTCTATATGCTGAGGGCAAGGTTGGCACAGGTAGAAGGATGGAACTGGGTGGTGCATCCTGAGTTGTTTCCTTAGGCTGACAGGGCTGAATAGGTCAACATCACCCTGCAAAAGGATATCTGTGCTGTTTAAATTTCTCCTAGTCTGAGGCTGCTTTTGGCACCCTAATGAAGTATATTATTGTATTTAAGTCGCATTGTTCTCTGTACCTGCAAGGGGAGTGGGATATATCAGGGCCATTTGCATCTGTTAATGGTCTGGGAATAAAATTAGTACTCATGTAGCTTTTTTTTGGGGGGTGTAATTTTTGTCTAGATGGGCCAGTACCTTCCACTTTGGAATCCGGAAAGCATGCCACCAAACATGATACTGGGGTAAGTATTGGAAATTGAATTCTACCTGTGGATCTACAACTAGTTTCTTCGTTTTATTAGAACAAGGCTTGAGCTCTTCTACTTTGTTATATTAATAAAATGCACTTGCACTTAGATTAACACATTCTTTATTGATTTGTAACCTTCTGTGAAATAGTATGGAGCACAAGGCAGGTTTTGATGGCCCATGTAATCCTATCATTTTGGCAGGCTGAGGCCAGGCATGGTAATTTGAAAGCCAATGTGGACTATATGACTATATGAACTAGCATTTGCCTCAAAAAAATATAAGCTTTAGAAATGCATACACTTTAAGAACACTGGTGGCTCTCCTACATTACCTGGATTTGATTCCTAGCACCTGAGTGTGGGCTCACCACCCTTCTTAACTCCATTTTAAGACATCTGAAATTGTATTCTATCCTTCCAGAATATTGAATGTATAGAGTATGCAGATATGCATGCAGAAAAAAACACATTCCAGTAAGATGAAAAAGTATTAAAATAAACAAACAAAAGAAAGAAACCTGATATCTCCCACTTTATGAAGTACAACATTTAGATGAACTTCCAAGCTTTTTTTTATGTACTATACACTATTTCAGATATCTTAAAAAGTGTCGTTTTTTGATGTAGCTGAACTGTGTTTTTGTTTTAGGGTGAGCTAGGTAGATTGTTACTAATATGCTTGAAGATTTCTGTTTAATTAGTAAAATTAATTAGGATATCAAATAAGCTGATCCTACACACATGTGGGAAACTCAAACTGTTCACAGACTTGCTGGAATGTCATGGACTTCTTTTTCTTTGCCTGACACTCCCAGTAAAGGAGCTGTGTCAAGCCACTTCACTGACTACTGATGTGGATTATCATTCTGTTACAGAAGGAAACGTTGCCCACCACTAGACCTCCTGAAAACAATGCAGCTGGTCATGGCTTGACTCCTCCACCTGTTCCCAGTCTTAGAGGCCCTAGAGGCTCTAGAGGTCCTAGAGGCCCTGCCTCTCAATATGATCGAAGAGGCCGGATCCCACCACCTCCTCCTCCAGGAAACATCTGTAGAGGTCCTGGACAGTATGTCCCACAAAAGAAATTTGCAGGCCCACAGTTTCCTCCAATGTCAGGTAGGCTTATCTAAAAGTCTCTGTATGTGTCCATTTTTATCTATTCTCTCCTTCAAGTTTGATTCCTGTTACTGTGAGAAACACAGACCAGAACCAACTTAAGGAGGAAAACATTGCATGGGATCACGGGTTACATTTCAGCAGCAAAGGATTTCAAGGCTTCAACTTGATCCATCTTATGGAATGTTGAATTTGAACTGTGTTATGATAAGCCAGAAGATCAGTAAAATTACAAGCTGTTTTTTGTTTATTTGCTTGTTTTTGTTGTTGTTTTTACCTCCATATTGCAGGGTTTCTCTAGCTTTGGAGCCTGTCTTGGAACATTCTCTGTAGATGAGGCTTCCCGTGAGTAATGGAGATCCACCTGTCTCTGCTTCCCATGTACTGGGATTAAATTCAAGTTTAAAATATACCCAGAAGCAAATAGTATTAGGATTAAAACTATGTGTGTTTCATTTGATAGTAATGAATTGAGGCCATTATTTCAAATAATTATTAAATATGGACTTACGATTATAGACTAAAGTGTTTCACAGTATGACTTCTAAGCAATAGTTTTCACATGATCGTGTTTAAAATCCAAAATCAGTTTATTATTTGGTGAATTCATGAAATTCCTTTATACACTTACATTTTAAAATAAATGTAATTAGTTGCTTTTACAGCATAATTACCCCTTTGACATCATGTGTGTGTACACAGTAAGTCATGTTTTCAAGTACTAGAAAAGAACAAGCTCAGTTGTGCTTGGTGACTTATCTCTGCCATGGCCTCTAGTCTTAAGCTCCTTGGAGAACGATATTTGTGTTTTGAGTGAATTTATTCCACTGGCATTATAGGAAATTTCTCTTGTCGAATGTCAGGTCGATATTATCATAGGACTGTTAAGTATGAAAGTTTTACTGTATTGAAATCTATTTTAAAATAGGCCTCCAGCATATTGAGATCTGGCATAGCTACAAGATTGGACAAATACAACTGAAATCATTGGCGATGTTCTTACTTATTAATCATATGTAGCAAAGAAGTCCATTTTTCAATGTAAAGATTTGTTTGTAAATCAAGTATTATATGAGTGTTGACATATTACCACAAGGGCTGGAGCTATTGGTTTAATAAGTGTAAGGTATAGGGTTTTACTTTCCGATGACCTAGACCCATCTCCTGAAATTGAGAAAAGTGCATGGACCTATGGGCTTTCAAAATTTCCTCAACAAAAGTGCTGCATTTTCCCAAACCCCCACATCCTGAGTGTAGAAATGATCTCCCTCCAGAATCAATTCCACTTTCCCAACATGCACATGAAACTCCATCCTACACCAGGACCTCCTGAAACACAAGGAGACCTGGCAATTTCCATGACAATAATTTATTGTCATTTGCACTCTGACAACTGCTGTTCGTTCTGTGACTCTGTTGTGGTTCAGAAGGAAGCTTAATACAATTAAATTTCAGAATAGTATTTTGGAAAGAAGGATGATTTAAATACTATCTTTGAGTAAGTTATTCCATTTATTTCACTATGGATAGTAACATTTACATTGATTATTACCTCTTATATGATGAAGGGAGTTAGGCATACAGTCTTAGTGATGAGGATACCTTAAACTCTAACCTCTGTCTCTTTACACCAGGAATGTGTAGAACATCTGGTTGTAGACAATTGTAAAAGTAACTGTAGCTACAATCAATCAAATTTTAATTGAAGTAAATTCTTATTTGGCAGTGTTAATATTAAAACCAGCTTGTGTCCCATAAACATGGTTCCATAAATGAGTACTTTTTACTATGTAGTTCCAGAGGGAAGGGTCTGAGCTGGATAAATGGTGGATCACTGGTTAATACTGGCTCCTCCACAAGAACTGAGGTCTTGGCCTTTGTTCCCAGCATCCACATATAGCTATAGTGCAAGGCAATACTCTCTGTTGGGATGGTAGTACTCCCTGTTAGCAGCATATCTTGGCAGATATACCATGACTGGGGCATCCCTAGTATCTTCTTTCTGCGTATCACATTCATGTGTGATGTATGAGAAGGCCAGAACTGGGCATCAAAGCCCCTGGAAGTGCTGTTACAGATGGTTGTGAGCTGTTGTATTGTTGCTGGGAATTAAACACAGGTCCTAAGGAAGAGCAGCCTGTATCCTTAAACACTGAACCCATTTATCCACACCATTCATGTTGATAATATTTTAGGAGTGCCACCTAATGTGTGTGTGGAAGGGTAATTGTGGTGACATAGTAATGGTTTCCTATATTTGGCCATAGTACAAACTGTCCTTTGCTCCCTAGGTATCATCTCATTGGTCTCTATTTGCAGACGATATGATAGTTTACATAAGTGACACAATAAACTCTACCACGGAACTCCTACAGCTGATGAACACCTTCAGCAAACTAGCAGGATACAAGATAAACTCAAAAAAGTCAGTAGCCCTACAATTTTCAGACGACAAAGAGACAGAGAAAGAAATCAGAGAAACATCACCCTTTACAATAGCCACAAGCAACATCAGGTATCTTGGGGTAATATTTACCAATCAAGTGAAAGACCTATATAATAACTTGGTCGCTCAAAACAAAGAAATTAAAGATACCAGAAAATGAAAAGATCTCCCATGCTCTTAGGTAGGATAAACATAGTAAATATGGCACCTACAGATTCAATGCGATTCCCATTAAAATCCCACCACAATTCTTCACTGACCTTGAAAGGATAATAATCAACTTTATGTGGAAAAACAAAATCCCAGGATAGCCAAAAAAAAAAAAAAAAAAAACCCTATACAATAAAAGAACTTCAGGAAGCATCACCATTCCTGACTTTAAGCTCTACTACAGAATTATAGTTCTGAAAACAGCCTGGTATTGGCATAAAAATAGACAGGTAGACCAATGGAATCTAATTGAAAATCCTCATATTATCCCACATACCTATGAACACCTGATTTTTGACAAAACAGCAAAAATTATACAATGGGAAAAGGATAGCATCTCCAATAAATGGTGCTGGCACAATTGGATGAGGATGTGTAGAAGACTACGGATAGAACCATGTCTGTTGCCATGCACAAAATGCAAGTCCAAATGGATCAAAGACCTCAACATCAATCCAACCACATTGAACCTCTTAGAATAGAAAGTAGGAGGTATCCTTGAACAAATTGGTATAGGATACCACTTCCTGAATGGGGCACTGAAACTGAGACGAAAAATTAATAAATGGGAACTCTCCAAACTTTCTGTAAAGCAAAGGACACAGCGGACAAGACCAAATGGCAGCCCACAGAATGGGAAAGATGTTCACAAATCCTATATCCCACAAAGGGCTGATCTCCAAAATATGCAAACAACTCAAGAAACTAGTCAACAAAACACAAAATGAGCCTAATAAAAAATGGGGTACATAACTGAAGAAAGAATTCTCAATAGGGGAAATCAAAAAGGCTGAAAGACACTTAAGAAAGTGCTCCACATCCTTAGCTATCAGGGAAATGCAAATCAAAACAACATTGAGATTCCTGTTGTTGTTATGCCTGCATTCTCAGTATTGGGGATATCTTAACCACTACTATCTATTTCATTACTCCAGGAATGTGTAGAAACATGTGGTTCCAGACAAACGTATAGGAACCTGCAGGTATAGTCCCTCAAAATTTAATTGAAGTAAAGTCTTTTTTGGCAGTGTCCCATCAACATGGTTCCATAATGAGTACGTTGTATTCTGTGCTTCCAGAGGGCAGGGTCTGTGGCTGGAAAAAAATGGTAGGTGACTGGTTAATACTGGCTCCTCCAGCAGAACTGAGGACTTGGGCTTTGTTCCCAGCATCTACATAGAGCTTCGGTGCAAGGCACTTTTCTCTTTTGGGCTGTAAGTATGCCCTGTTAGCAGCCCTCCTTGGCAGCTATCCCATGATTGTGGCAATGCTTCCATCTTATTTCTGTGTATCACGCTCATGTGTGACGCATGTGAAAGACATAGGAAGCCTTCAGAGAACCTGGATTTGCAGATACAGATGGCTGTCAGCGGCTGTGTAGTTTCTGTGAACCAAGCACGGGTCCTAAGGAAGAGTGGACTGTTCCCTTGACCACTGGAGCCATTTGACCACACCATTCATGCTGTGAACGATATAGGTGTGTCAGCTAATGTGTGTGTGTGTATGTGTAAGGTTAGTTTTGATGCCATAGTAATGCATTCCATTATCTGGCCATAATAAAACTCTCCTGAGTTCCATGGGTATCATCTCATAGATTACAGTCCATTTATATCCATCCTGTTTCCCACAACGATATGAAGCCGGCCGATGCCAGTGGATATTTAAACGACTACCTGTAAAATAATTTGTTTTCTTGTTCTTAATAAATTATCTTATTCCATCATTTATATTTAGTAGATTTAACCTGTCAGGTTGCCTGCTACTGTCACTCATTATACACTGAATCAGGAAAGGTGTGTTTCTGTTGTAGTTATAAATGCAATGGACATGAACAAAAAATAATATTAAGAAATTGAACTTTTCATTATATGTTTGTTGAGTCACTTGTAAGGGTTCTCGACCATAACAGTGCCTGTCCAGTCCTGAAGGAAAGGTTGGCATACCATGCAGACAGGATGTGAATGCTGAATCTCTAGTTGTTCTTTAAGGCTAATAAGCAAGATTGCCTAAGAGCCAGCTGTACATGTCACCAGCACACTTCAAAACCATATGTGTTCTATCGAAATTCTCCCAAGTCTGAGGCTGCTTTTGTCACCGTGATGAGCATTGCTATCGTATTCCTGTCGCCCTGTATTCTATCCCGACAAGGGGAATGGGACATGTCAGTGGTATTTGGATTGGGAAACCTCCTGAAAATAAAGGGAGAACTCATGAATTTTCCTGGTTTAACTTCTAGGTGAGCCAGTGTACTCAACATTGGAGTCCGGGAAGAGTGCCACCAAACACGACCCCGTGGTAAGTTGTGGAAATTGACATCTACCCGTGGATCCACAAGGAGTTTCTA